GGTTGCGCGTAGTTTCTTTCAAGAATACAACTGACCCCACAGCCCATTTTAGGGCGCAGCGAGATCCTGAAAAAGCTAAGTTGGTATTTTGTGCGTAATGGGCGCAGCGAGATCATGAAGTAGTCGTTGTAGGGAGCAATGCCACGTTAACTTAGGAGCCTAAGTGACAGGGCCAGTGTATATGTAAGCAACAGAAAATGCTTAGTCGGCGAACTCGACAGGCCCGTTATCTCATGCGTTTCGCAGCTATTCGTCGATGCTTTTTTTATGTCGGGTACTTTCACTCTCGAACAAGTGAAGAAGCACGACAAGCCTGACGATTGCTGGATCGTGGTAAACGGTGATGTCATAGACTGCACCAAGTATCTACCCAACCACCCTGGGGGGTCTTTGGCCATCACTGCCTTCGCTGGCTGCGACTGCTCACTAGAGTTCAACACAGTGCACGATAAGAGCATGATGGAACAGTACAGGGATCTCATCATTGGAAAGGTTAGTGATGGTATCACTATGGAAGAGGTCGCCAGGCATGGCACCCCCAACGACTGTTGGATCGTCGTTAATGGCGAAGTGCTAGACGTCACTGACTACATCAAGGAGCATCCTGGTGGGGAACTTTCCATCACAGCTTTCGGTGGGACTGACTGTTCCTTGGAGTACAATACTGTGCATGCCAAGGCTTTGATACAGGAGACCTGTCCTCAATGTGTTATAGGGAAACTACTCGTCCCTAAGAAGAGAAAGAAATCGAAGGCGAAGGCGAAGGGCGTCCTTGATATGGACGAAGTGGCCAGGCACAACACCAAGGAGGACTGCTGGGTAGTGGTTAATGGTTTCGTACTGGCTGTCACTCCGTTTCTGCCTGAACACCCCGGAGGGCCAGAAGCGATATTGAAGTATGCTGGCAAGGACGCGACAGAGGAGTGGAACATGATACACTCATTCGACGTACTTAAACAATATGGTGGCAAATATATAGTTGGGAAACTTGGCGATCCATTGGGTGGTACCGCGGACTTGGGCCTGACTGTTGAGGAGGTCGCTAGGCACAACACTAAGCAAGACTGTTGGGTTATTATCAACGGTACAGTTTTTAACCTCACCGATTGGCTCCCGCTTCATCCTGGTGGCGAAAGCGTTATTCTCAACTACGCTGGCAAGGATGCTTCTGACGAGTGGAACGCGATTCATCCTTCTGGGACAATGGAAAAGTACGGGAAGAAATACGAACTG